CGAATCATCTGGGGAGAGGGTTAAAATGAGGATTCTTGTTCAGTAGGTCTGGGGAGGGGGCTGCGATGACTCACTTCTAACATTGCTCATGCCAGTGGTCCAAAGACCAGACTTCAAGAAGCAGGTGCTAGATGTGGACTACAAGGTCCATGAGATCAAGGACACTGTCTTCTTTCCCATCTTAGCCCCAGACTTGGCAGAATGCCTGGCACAAAAATAAGTTCTCAATAAATATTTGCTGAATTGAATTAATAGGGGACGCTGGCTACAAGGACAAATTCTGTAGCTTAATTTTCTGCTAAAGTAAGCTCATAGCCAAAAACCAAATGGATAAAAACCAACCATAATTAAACATGTGGTTGACTAGGACTTTGGAGTTTCCCAAGCACTTTAATTAAATGATAGCTTATTTGACTTTTACTTTTCACAGTAATCCTCTGAAGAGTTGTCGTTATTATTTTCCTGTGACGGATGGTAAAAGCAAAGTCAGAGAGGGTAAGTCATCGGTTTAAAGAAGGCTAGAAGCACGTACACTGCAACATGGGATCTTCTGACTGCTGGATTTGTCCTGCTGTACTCTGCAGAAATAGTAAAAACTTAACCAGAATTGGATTACGTAAGTATTGTACGGCTTGAGGCTGTTGATGTCCCTATTCCTCTGTAATTGTTACACACTTGGTACAGAAGAGCTAATATATCTAAAATGTAAGTGTATGGGTGCGATGTGAGGAGATGTGTCAAAAAATAACTCAAGCTCTCTCTGGGCTGCTGGGACAAACCAGCTGTGCCTGAAGACTCCTCTCTCTCCCAGCAGAAAGGGTTATATCCAAGCTCAGCTTCTCTTGGGACCAGAGATTTCCTCCCCCAGGGCAAAAATCCATAGACCCCAAGGTCTGAGGGGCAGGTCAGCTGGTGCTCCCCCTGGGTTCCCCACCAGCTGGCAGCCAATCAGGGCTGTCTGGCTACAATGTGGTCCGATCAGATCACCCCCCCTCTGTCAAGGTTGCTTTCAGTCTTGCCCTAAAAGAAGGAAGGACAGCAGCGGGTGGAGGGTCTCCACCTGAACTCAGCTCTCCGGTGTGTCTAGCACAGGACATGGGCCCTGCGTGCCTTGGGACAATGGGAAGCACTTACACCTTCTCTCTTGCTGATTCCTGCTTTAGAAATTTCCCTAACAAAGTCTATTCCAAAACCCATGCCGTGTGACACTGTGGAATTCATGAGAACCCTTGTATGGTACGTGGCAATCACACAGGGACCCACCTTAACTCACTTTACAGGAAAGAGGGGGTTTAACAAGTTTAATCTCGGCTTTCTCTTCTCCTTGCCACACATTCCTAGTCGCCATACACTTTTCTTCTAAGTCTTTCCCAAAGCAGACCACAGTAGTAAAATAACAGAAAGGTACCGAGTCAACATTGTGTTTTTGGTAATCTTGCCCTGATCCGTTTCCTAATCATCTATATGAGGTTTCTGTACAGCATCCTAGGGACAGTAATGGACGACATCACACCTGTTAGCGTGTCTGGGAGTAGCAGCATTCTGGAGGCTAGGTCAGGTCAATGGGGTGTAAGAACCTCAGAAGAGAAAGTAATGTTTTATTTACAGAGAGTCCACATGTCCAAAGTCCCACATGTTTCTCTTTCCACGGATATGCCCCATAGCTCCCGGCCTGAGCATACCACAGCGCAGGCTCTGCAATCCCACCTTGCTGAAGTTTCCCATAAGGGAGTGAGAAAGGAGTGTGCAGACTTCCAGGGCCCTTGGGGGACATGGGATCAGGAGAAAGAGCTCACAATCCTGTCAGGATTGTTTTTTGTGTATCGAGGAAGAAATTCTGACCGAAAATGTGGGAAGTCCTAAGGGACATTATGGCAGCCTTTGTGATTTACAGGTATGAATTCTCCCTGCAGACACCTCAGCAAGAAATGTTATTTACACATATATCATCACTTGGAGTTAGAGTGTGTACGTGTCTTTATAATCCACCAATCCCCTGGATAGTAGAGAATAACTCCAATTAGGTAGGTGGCATAATGTCAAAAGTCTGGGCTTAAGGCCCTGGGTTCAAGGTCTCTATGTCATTTACTTTTTTGTACCTTTTGATCCCCTTCATCTGTTTTCTCTACGCCTACCATCCCCCCACCACCTCTGGCAACCACTGATCTATTCTCTGTATCTATGAGGTTTTTTTGTTTTTTTCCTTAAGATTCTACATATAAGTGAGATCATATGGTATTTGACTTTCTTTGTCTGATTTATTTCACTTAACATAATGCCTTCAAATTCCATCCATGTTGTTGCAAATGGCAAGATTTCCTTCTTTTCTTTTTTTTTGGTGAGGAAGATTGGTCCTGAGCTAATGTCTGTTGCCCATCTTCCTCCTTTTATGCTTTAGGAAGATTGTTGCTGAGCTAACATCTGTGTCAATCTTCCTCCACTTTATGTGGGATGCTGCCATAGTGTGACCTAGATGAGTGGTGCTAGGTCCATGCCTGGGATCTGAACCTGTGAACCCTGGGCTGCTGGAGCAGAACACGCAAATTTAACCACTACACTACTAGGCTGGCCCTGTGGATTTCCTTTTTTTCCAAGGATCACTAATATTCCATTGTATATACCATTCGTCCATCAATGGACACTGGTGTTTCCATGTCTTTGCTATTGTAAACAATGCTGCAATGAGCAAGGGGGAGGATGTATCTTTTTGAGTTAGTGTTTGTGTTTCCTTCACATATATTCCTAGAAGTGAAATTGCTGGATCATATGGTAGCTTTATTTTTAATTTTTTGAGGAACTTCCATACTGTTTTCCATAGTGGCTGCACCAGTTTACATTCCCACCAACTGTGCACAAGTGTTCCCTTTTCTCCATATCCTTACCAACACTTGTTATCGCTTGTCTTTTTGATAATAGTCATTCTAACAGGTGAGAGGTGATAGCTCGTGGTGGTTTGTGGTTTTCTTTTTCTTGACACCTTTGGTAACGCATTTTAATTCTCTAAGCCTGTTTGTCTAGAAAAACAAGCAAGCAAACAGTCTCCCTTTGTATGTTGTTGAGGAGGTGAAATAATGCAGGTAAAGGGCTGGCATGGTCCTGGCATCAGAACTCACTAGCATTCCTCTGGAGATGGAATCCATACCAGAGTCTAGCTCATTTTCTAGGACTTGATGTTATCCTCGCTTCTGCTTCTCTGTCATTTTGTTTCTAGATTAGAGCAGTGACTTCTGCTAAGCTCCCTGCAGAGTTGGAAGCATTGCTTTGATAGAGCATCTGTCACTATGGCTCAAAGTTTCTAGATGTGCTGTTGGCCCAGCAGACACTTTCCTTTTTGTCTATCCCCTTTTTCTTCTCTCCAAATCCCATTCTGTTCCCACACACCACCAACTCTGGTCCCCTACTCATTCCCATTCAGTTTGGATCTGGCCCCATATGTTTATGGGTCAAAATAATTTGTGACCATGGAATATGATTGCTGAGTTTTAATTCCCCATTGCTGACTTGCAGTGAGCCCAGATTATTCGGCTGACCTCCCAGCACAGACCAAGCCCACACTTCTGATGGGTCTTTAAGATTTTGGGTAGTATCCTGGATATCAAACTGTCTATGTCTCTATGATGTACTTCTCCTACCAGAGGTTAGAAAGTGAAGACATTGGGTTGTGTTTGTCTAATTGAGTTGTGCAAGGACAATCCCTACATACATCTGTCTATTGGTCAACTAACATCTCATTTCCTCAAACTGTCCCAGTTTACCCTACTGTTCTAAAGAAATTAACAACATCCTCTTTCTCTCTCAAATGTGTCCTGGTTTGAAAGTTATATTGTAAGGTCATCCTATCCTTTGGGATTGGTATATATTTAAACTTCTTTTCAAATAGAAAAGATGGTGAGTTACCAGGCAAAAGATATTTTTTCAGTAGAATAACAAGAATTGTGAGAAGGAAAGTCAGAATTTTGAAGTCACAATTTTCAGAAATGATGCTTCGAAGAATTTTCTTTCTATACTGCGAACTGGGAAGTGTTTTTATCATAGCAAGTCGTGTTTTGGAAAACTTGGAAGAGGCTTGCTACATCATTTACATTTTAAGTGGTCAACCCTTGTTCAATGGAATAAGTACAAGCGAGCTAAGAATGCTCAAGGGAAAAACACACATCACACATTTTTTTATGCTTTTGAAACCTTCTCCTCTTCTTTTTCTCACCTCACTTCATGCTACTGGCTAGAAGGCATCTTCCACAAAGAGGTGTGAAAGAGAAATCTAATAATACTCTGAAGTAGAAGGAGCTGGCAGAGTCTGTTCATGCTAAAATTGTGCAGCCACGTTAAGATACAACAGAGAGAAACGACTCAAGGAGCTGGGAGGGAAAACTCCCAGCTTTGTTACCATCAACCATCGACCTGAACAGAAGAGACATGAGCTGGTGTAAATGCCACATACTATCAAGCCATGTCAGTGACACAGGACCACAGGAGACAATGCACACATGTGGCTGACAAAGTCTGTACTGCGTGTGAAATAATGCCTTCATCTATAGCAGCTGCAGCTGCGGTGGAAATTCAGGGCTCCCCAGACAGGCCTTTTAACAGGTTCACAAGTTCTTACCTACTCCAGAGGGAACATATATTCTTGTTGTTACTCACAGGATACAACACGCATTAACCCACTCCTTCCCTTCCCCATTCTAAGAAATGGACAAGGAAACCACAGGCAACTTAATGTTTCCTTGATCAGCTGCCTATCAGTAGACAAACCATGCTTCACAGGAAGGTGCAAAGAAAAGCCGGATCTTACTCTTTCATTAAAGCACCACCAGGCCTCAAGATTAGTTAAATAAAAGAAGTCCCTGAGACATGACACACTAATTTACACCTGGTTACTCTGAATGATCACATGACTTCTATTTGGCGCCAGGTCTGTGACATTTTACTCACTCACATATTTGCATATTCAGAAGCTGTATGAGCATAAAACTATTAAAAATGAAATCCACTATACATTACAGTAGAATGACATGTAATTTATTCATATAACCGACAGTTAGGCAGTACTGAAAATTCATTTAAATAAGCAAGTGATTACACAAATGTCTAATAATACTAAAATTGATAGTCAGAAGGTATAAAATACCATGGGTATGAAATGCCATGGTAAGTACTATTCAACAGACTACAATCATAATTCCAAACTAAATCATGGTTTTTAAAATGATTTTTAGCAGTTTTGGAATGGTTTGATTTTTTCCCCCCTTCCAAGCAATATACTTCTTCTACTGATGTAAGACAAGGTCATTATTTTCAAGAAATATTGCAGAACAACATAGCTCGGGTTTCTCTCTTGTAATGCATTTTCTTGCAAACTGTTTTTTAATATTGCCTCTTGACATAGAAAACAAACCAGTCAGCACTCGGTTCCCTAAGCTTGGATTCTTGGATCAGAACAGCGCCAGGGTGTAACTCTGAGTTCAACAAAAGGCCGGCAGTGAAAAACCTTTTGCAGCTTTTGAAATATGCATACTTCTTTTCTGAGGCTCCAAGCATCACAAACATATGTAGGGATCCAAGCCAATGAAATTATGGGAATAAAATAATTTGATAGCCAGATGACTATGACAGAATTGCGACTGGGTGTAAGTTACGATATAATTCCGCGGTACTTCAAACAAAAACAGCACCTACCTAAAATTGCTTCTTGTAAGCCTTGGTAGATTTTCATGAAGCACAGCTATGTTTGCAGGAATGGTTTGGCTTATCATGTGTCTGTCTGTCTGTATTATTTTAAAGTCATACTTTATTAGAATGAGGTCCAAGCATGAACCCAGCTTGAAAAGCTAGCAGCAGTAGTCATGAAACATATCAATAAATTAAAAGGCTTTCACAGAATAAGACTCAGCTAAATCTCTGACATACAAAACACAGCTAGAGAAATACAATTCTTCAATGCTGAATTATGAGGGGGAGGAAAACAATCTAAAAAAATAGAAAACTCTCTCCATACCTGGGTGTCAAGGCAAGATGTAACACTGCATAATGCCACAATATGAGCAGTCACTGGATGACAGATTCTCCAGAAACAGTGGTATCGGGGGATCTGGTAATTATGACCAAGAGATGAAAATACTGTACCAAAAGGCATGCATACAATTACTGTGCATTCAGTGTGTGAGCTGGGATCTAAGCAGAGAACTAACACGACAATGAGGCAGTGTTCCGGGGCATCCATTAAAACCAGCGTGGGTGACTACATGTTGATTAAACCTTCCGAGGCAGCAAAGTGTGGGCACAATGCCATGTCTGGGTTCTGCAGCTGTTTTATGATCCTCTTGCGGAATTTCTCCCGCACACGATTAAATTCCATTATGTCCATGGGGTCCTCTTCAATCCAAAACTTATGAAACTCGTGCATCAAATAGCCTGTTAGAGATAAGACAGTGATAAGAGCCCTGGAGAAAAAAAAAAGTCCTTAATCACATTCAAAATCAGCCTGAATGCTGGAAGAGATGTCAGACCAAATAACAGCAACCACAGAGCTCAAAGAAAAGATCAAAATACAGCAAATATTGCTGTTAAAAATTATTCTTTAAAATCGGTGCAGTAGAAGCTACCAAGATGCAAGATTTTTGCAATTGGTCTTAGAATTACTCTCACTCTTCTCAAGCAGGAAGAAAAATCAATTCTGCCATCTCTTGAATACGAATCACTTCTGGAACATACTCTGAAAGGCTGACAGTGACTACTTCATCCTTCCCCTCCTAATTAAATTAGCATAATGGTCTGATTTTCCAAAATTACTCCACTCAGCCTTTTTTTCCTTGATATTCGATTTGAGTAAAGTTTTAAATTACCCTGACAAATCAAACAAATGCATTCTGACAACCTATTATGAGACAATAAAAAATGTAAATCAACTCTGAACAACACAGACTGGTCATTTAACTACATGAAATTGTTAATAAGCCTTCCTTGCTCTGAAACATAATTTCATATTCAAATACTTCTGTGTCTCAAAAAAATGATCCAGATTGGGAAAATTTGGGGAATAAACATGAAGTATTTGATATGAGAACCTATTCATTGTATTCTGTTTTCCCATTGTGCCCCCTCCCTCCACCACATTTAGAATTGAAATGTGAATAGCTTTTTAAAAAGAGAATAAAAGACATTTGTGTATAGTAAATCAATTGCAAGCTCAAATGTCCCCATATATATTAGAAAAAAGTATTTAAGGAAATAATCCTAGTTAAAAAAAAGAAAACCAAACATTAAACTGGCTTTTCTTTGTCTTAACATTGGAAGGCAATAGAAAATAGTTGGGAGTAAGGAGTTTGGAGCCAGAAACCTGATTTGAATCCTAGCTCTTTCAGCTTCATGGGGAAGGAGTGAGCAGCAGAGATAGTAGGAGGCATAGGAAGAGAATTTTGGAACAAACGTACTCAATTCTAATAGTAAAAAAAAAATCAACAGCTTTTGTTTGTCTGGTAACTGGCTGCTTATGGGAAAACCTTCAGCATAGCTCCATAAAACAGATTTTTAAAAATCTTTATTCATCTCTCGCTACAATACAAAATTAGAAGTGACCTTCCCTCCCACTCCCAACACACTGCCAGAGGCTGGTCCACTTCCACAAACTCACCTCCAATTACTCATCTCATTACATTGTTAAGTATGCTTGTACATCTTTAAGTATTTGGTCTCTCTACAACTACAGGAGGAAGGGTAGTAAGGAAAGAGGGAATTTATTTTACTTTTTTGGGGGTGGTTGATGGTTCCATTTCTTTTAGGACTGGACTGTCTTTGGACCCTCCACACACAGTAACTGATGTGACTGCTTTTAACAACTCTGACGGGGACACACACCAACCCTCACCCGAACAGCTTCTGGGCTACACAAGCCAGGGCTCACTACCGCTGTCATGGAACCTGACGACCTCAGAGAAGCCCCAGACCAGAGCATCAGCGACCCCAGGAGCCATCCCATCTGTCTCTGCTCTATTCTGTACTTGGATTCCCCAAGGTGGCATCCAGCCTTGAACTCTTCTGGTAAACAACACTGACATTAGCCTGTTCCAAGATGAAGAACCTGATTCTTAAAAGGTTCTTCATCACACGGGGCCAAAATATGTTGCCCTGTATTTCTCGGAACAAATTCAATCCTTCTCCAACTCAAATATTTGAAGTGCCCTTCATGCACTGGGTGTCTCTCTTTTCCAAGTTAAGCATCCCTATTTCTCTTCACCATTTCTTGCATGCCATAACTTGGAGCTGTTTATCATCCTGGTCATTTCAGTGAAACGCTAACAGAAACTTGTTTCCTCTACTCTCAGTATCTTATTCAACCCAAAGAATTCAACCATCTATCCATCTAGTGACTGGGCAAACTCCTAAGGTACCCAAAGAATGGTATGGGGAACTCTCTAAAAACACAGACCCTTCCAGATTCAACCAGATATCGCAGTCAGTAAGAGGAACCTTACATCACTAAGTTTGTGATGGCCTTTAGTCTAGACGATGGTCTCTAGGAGATGCTCTCTTTTTAAGTTCCCTTGGCTTCTTTCTAAATATTGTAATTTTTATGGTTCTAAATGAAATCTATGATCATTTATAAATTCTTCTTCCCTTGCTGTATAAAATACACACATAATTTTCCTGACTTGGCCTCTGAGCTTAAATAAACACAACTGAGCTGTTCATATCTAGAGTCAAGTTTCCTATTCTATGAATTAAAATAATCCATGATGAATGAAAAGCATCTCATTAGTATCTCATGAACGACAAAGTCTTTACTCCTATTGACAGTAATAAATAGGAACTGTAAAAAAACAATCTTTCAATGAAGAATTCATTTTTCCACAATGTAGATAAAAATATTCACTCTTCTACAACGTGCAGGTATATTGGCAACTCACTCCAAAGGTGATCGAGTATAGCAGAATTTTAGGAGAATGCAGATCCATTTGGTTTCCCCATTTTTCTACCTTACACGCAATTATAGAAAAACATTTTGAAAGGTTTAAAAGACAGGCTAGGATAAGAGTAGAGGTGGGGGTGGTTCATCTTCTCAACCATTCTCAGGATCCTTCCTCTTAAGGCTATAGCAGTCAAGCTGTAAAGACTTGAGACTCTCTTTCTTTATCCCATCAGGAAAATAGAGACTGCATAATGTGATTTTAATCAAAATGCAGAAATAGTTGCTTGGCTTCCAGGGTGCATATTATAATTATAAAACTCCACTCATTTATGTAACATTACAGAGTGTTCAAAAATCCATTTGGTCAATTGGTCAATTGGCCCACCTACCAATTAACAATATGCAACAGATACAAAAGAAGGTAGAGTTCCTATGCTCCTCAATTCTTGGTCTCTCAGTGACAGGGACCCAGGTAGATGATTTCAGATGATGATTTCTTAGCTAAGGAAGCCAATAAAATGGCATGGAAAGTAGAGGAAGGAAACAGTGGCCAGGCTATTGCTTACAATCTCTTATTTAATTCTTATAACAGCTTTGTGGAGTAGGTAATGCAGATATATCTTCATTTTACAGTCGAGAACAGTGGGCTTAGAAAAGATACTTGAATGGTGTACAGTTGCACAATTACAGCTTGAAGCTGGAAGCCAGGACCTGAAATCAGCTGACTTCCCACCGTACTAGCAGTCTTTTCCAGTGTAGTCTCTTCCTCAGGCTCTTCCTACTGAATAGTTCCTTCTTTTGAAGGTCAAAGTAAAGATAATTCTTTCTCCTCTTCTGGCCATTGTGCTTTCCTTCTGCTCACTACACCTAACCTTACTTCATTTCAATGGAGCTGTATGTTGAGTGGAGCTTTAAATTGAATGCAATTTTTGTAGCATACTGCCTTGGCAGTGCAGTGTTCACTGAATAATACTGTGAAGTCAGAATGATGTGGCTATTATATTCTTATATTCTTTCACCTAGATGAAATACCTGCTTTGAATACTAATTTGGCTTTCCAGTCCAAGCCTGCAGCATATTTGCTGTTGCTTGAATGTGTCTTGGTTTTGCTTCATTGCATTCAGTTAGTAGACAGTAGAGACATATGCAAGGACACAGGTAATTGCAAGAATATTACAGAGGAGAAGCGAGGAACTGATCATGTCCGATGGAGGAACAAGGAATTCAGAGCACAGTTTGCTTCCTCTAGAGAGGGCTGAGACCCTCTGCCTACACCCCAATCCATAGTGGGATTGCTGCTGTGTCTAAAACCTGGTGAGAGCCTTGAGAAAGAAATAATCCTATTGCATGCTTTCTCACCAGGGCTAGGGTTCTCTTGGAAGCATATCAATTCAGGCCAAGGCTAAATTTTTCCAGAGAAACTAGACTCCTTTTCTCTGGCAAAGGACATCATCCAATATTTTAGCCTCCCATCCATCATCCATCCATCCATCCATCCATCCAACAAATAGTTACTGAGCACCTTCTCTGTACCAGGCTCTGTGCTGAGTATACAGCAGGGGACAAAACAAACATTCCTGTCCTTAAACGTCAATTCCTATGATTCTAACTTTGATTCTCTCTTGCAAGAGCTCCCCCACTGCGTGGCCCTGCATTCTCCTCATGCTGAAGAATCCCAAATCTGCCCTTGCAATTCTTCAGACCACCAGAATTTTACATTAGAATGCCCACTATTCATCTCCTTGTGGGTTTCTTTAAAAGAACTCACTCCTAGCATGCTTAAAACTAAACTCATTCTATTTTCCCTCAAAACTGCTTCCCTGGCTTCCCTAAGGAGCATGGTATATATATAGAAATAGGGTAAGTACAAGGGGCAGGAGACAGAGCAAGGGGTTTTATTTATCTACATGCTTATGTTCTTGCAAATGGCTGACGAAGCTCTTCAAGATATGCACCCCCATCCCCACCCCTGCTTTTCCTACTGTCATCTCTAGTCACCCCTCTTCTCAGACCCTCTGCTCTGTTCCTTGAATTCACCATGCTCTGCGTCTTGTGCCTTTGCCCACGCCACTCCCTCCCTCTGTCTAGACCACTCGCCCACGGCTGCTCTATTTCCCTCTATTCACCCTTTAGGTCTCGTGGAAAAGGGCATTTGCTTGGGAAGTTTTCTCCAACTCCCAGACCGAGTGAGCTATGCCAGTCATAGGCCTTTTCCATTTTTAAAAACAATATCTTTATTCCTCAATCACAATTCCTCAATTCTTCCCGCCACATTCTCATTATTTGTTCAGATGTCTGCCTTCCTCAGCACAGAACCTAATCTGTAGTAAAACTTCAACAATATTTGTCAGAAATGGTCAGAGTTGTTAAAAGAGTAAATATAATCATCTAGTTGTCAAAGTAGGAGCAGTAATCACATATTGAAGGGACTTTCATTTTCCATTAATAAGTCATAAGGTGTATATATTTTAAAATTTGCTTTTTATTTTTACCTAATTTATACACACACATAATTTAGAGACAAAGAGTTTAACAAGGCTTGTTACAAAAAGCAAACAAAAACCCAGCAGCAACCCCTGCCCTAATTCTGCTTCCCTGAAGCAACACTTCAACTCTTTCAGCTGAAGCTTTTGATTATTGACCTGCATAGCTCTAACTAACAGACTTTCCATTGCTTGCTTGTTTTCACTTCCCTCTATAGAAGATGAAGATTTGGCTCCCTTTCACTCATTCCAATCACATTATCACATATTTTCTAAAAATTTTCTTTATCTACTTTTATTAACTGCCCTCTTTTTATTTGCTTAGTTTCTACTTATTTAATTTAACTCTAAACTATTCTCTAAGTATGCCAACGTGTTCAACATGGTAGATATTCCATCAATGTCACATTCTTCAAATAGTCTCTCCCAGAGCACTCTGACCTGCTAAAATCTGGGTTTATTTCTCTTGGCCTATTGCATAGATATCATCTTGGGCTTTCCCTTCACCTTCATCCTGAAGATTCTCTTCTCTTCTCTCCTGTAATAGATTTCCTGCTTTCTGGACTCCATTTATTCCTTTTAGGATTACTCTCTTATTTTGTGGAAATGCATCCTTTAGGAACCTTCCTGATAAAGGTACAAGGAGGTTAAACATTTAAGACCTTGCATTTAAGTCTTTATTCTATTCCCACACTTAACAGGTAAATTAGACTGAGTAGAGAATTCTAAATTGGAAATCATATTCCCTTAGATTTAAAAAACATTCTCTTAAATTTTTGAAGGCATTATTCTACTGTCTTCTTTTTGCTGCTGAGAAGTTCAATGTCATCTTAACTCCCAAATCTTTATGTGAAAGCTTTGGACGTTTTTAGAATCATCTCTTTCCTGTGTCATAAAATTTCATGATGATGTAGACCTTGGTGTGAATCTATTTTAATCTATTATGCTGGTGCTTACTAGTTTAAATATGAAAACTCATTCTTCAGTTCTGAATATTTTTCTTGATTTATTTCTTTGATTCTCTCCCCTTAGTTTCACTGTTCTTTTTCTGGTACTCCTATTATTCAGATATAAGATGACTTTCTAGATTGGTCCTTTAATTTCTCAACCTTTATTTTCTATTTTTCATCTATACTTTTTGTTCTACTTTCTGGGAGAGTTTTCAGCTTTATCTTCTAATCTGTCTTAGAGATTTCTTTTCTGTTATCTGATTTTTAATTTCTAAGAGCACTCTTCTGTTCTCTGAATGCTCTTTCGATGGCACCTTGCTCTCGTTTCATAGTTGCATTTCTTTTGTCTTTGGAGATATTAATGACACATATTTTTAAAGTCTTCTTCTCCCTGCATAGTTTCTATTTCCTCTTCTAGTGACTTTATTTCTGCTTGTTTTAGACTCTTGCTTGAGGCTTTCATGCTTTAGGCTTTTCTTACTGTTCTTGTTATCTAGTGCTGCTTAAGAAGTTATTCTAAAATCCAGTGGCTTAAAACAACTATTTTAATATACTCATGAATTCAGTGGGTTAGGAATTCAGAAAGGGCATTGGGTGGATGGTTCACAATGTCTGGGGTCTCAACTGGGAAGACCTGAAGTTTGGGGTGACTTGACAGCTGCTGGCAGGAATCATTTGGAGGCATCTTCACTCACATGTTTGATGGTAGATACTGGCTGTTGGGTCCTCATCTAAAGCTGTCAGTCAGGTCACCTACATATGGCTGCTGCATGTGTCCTGGACTTCCTCACAACACGGAGACATCAGATCCCTTACATGTGGCTCATGCTTCCAAAGGCAGCTCAGTCCCAGAGAACCAGGCAAAAGCCTTTTCTGATCTAGCCTTGGAAGTCACGTAGTGTCAATTCTGCTATACGCTATTGGTCAACTAACCAGCCAGCCCGGATTCAAGCAGTGAGAGGGACAAATAAACCTTACCTCTCAGTGGGAGGAGTGTCAAAAAATTTGAGGACATGTGTTTAACCATCACACTCAGACATCTGATAATCCTTGGTTGTCTCTGAATATTTTCACAGTTGAACTGAACAGCCAGTTGGACTAAGAGCTGATTGAAAGCTCTGAGCATTTAGACAGGGCTTGTTTACTGGGAGCATGACTATAGAGTGATATGGCTGGGCTGTTTCACTGGGGAGCTCCAGAGGTCAACATCTTGAGCTCTTTTCTCTTGGGCTGCTCAGATTCCCCAGAGAAGAGAAGGCCCTGTCAATCTCTTGACTGGCTGCCAAAGTGACAGGAACTGGGTGGGAGAAGGAGTCTGGGCGTCTCAGCTTTCACAACACTTTCGGTATGGTTTGCTGTTAACTGTACCTGATACTCATCAGACTAGAGATCCTTTATTTGTCTCTCCCTGGAGAATAATCCACCAGCTTCTGCTGGGGAAGGGGAAAGGGAGGAGGTTTGGGTCTCTAAGAGCTTCTCATCATACTTGCAAGCAACCTTGCTGTTTTTGGTCCTACCTTCACCCCTATTTCCAGAGATACCTAATGCTGCCAATTCTTGAACCTTCTGGGGAGTCCTATGGAATAAATTAAGTTGCTTCTTAACTTTCCACACTACCTGTTTGGGATTTGCTCTCTCAGGACTACTAAATCAGTTACTACCTAATCTGTTTCTCTGCTTTCAAAATAAGGTTTTTCTTGCCTTGTTTCTGATTTTTCCTGTCCTTGTGGATTTATGTTTTCTTTGAAAAATTCCTTTATATTAACTTTAATGAAGTTTCAGAAGGGAGCATAACGCATGCTCTCTTTAACCAGAAGTCCTGATTAATCAGATACAAAAGAAGACAAGACCCTAGATAATATAATCACTATTAATTTAGGAACTTAGATAAAATAAATTGCTATTAACTCGTGATGTTATCACATTTTAAAAATGAACTGGAGAACAGTACTGCCCTGTGGTGGATTTGAGGTGAAACAACTGTGTCTCAATCATACTTAGAAAGAGTGGCAGAACTGTTTAGCAAATTAACAGCAAAAAAAATCTGAAAGAAAGAGAAGGAGAAGAAAAACTGAAATTTTCTTGCTAAGAAAGCCTAGGTCCAAGGCCCTCAGGGTGGCAGGCATGGTTTAAGTGACGTTTCTCCTTTAATTTGCCTAGGTTGCTGGACAACTTGGTGGACTAGCTTTCCATTTCCTCCAAACCAGCTTGCGTCAGGCCCACAGGATCATAATGACATACAGCTGGATTTTAGGATTCTGCCTCCAGGAATGGAGACTAGCATCCCAGGGCTCTACCATACAGTCTCAGTCTTTATCTTCTGAAACCTCAGCACAGCTGCAGCCCCGAAGGATACCCCTCAGTCAAGCACAACATAAGGCTCTGGTTCAAGGCCACCAATACTTCCCTCTACTAGCACCTACTCTTAGAGGGTAGCAATGGTAGTGTTAGTAGTAAAAGTAATACCAATGACAAATCTACCACCATCAATATCACCCACTAAACCAACACCTCTTCTTTCTAATATTCACTGAGCACTAACTACGGGGCTGGCTTATAACAACTTTTGATCTATCATTTCATTCTATCTTCATAGCACCTCTATAAGGAAAGGATTCCTTTTATAGATGAGATAACTGAGGCTTAGTGAGATCTCAGGCTGTCTTGAGAGCCTGCATTCTTAAGTGCTATGCCATGCTGGGTCAAAGGGAGAGAGAGACACCCATAATGTCTTTAAGTCAGACCAGAAGTGATTCATTGGCTATTATGCAAGGGCTGGGAAAGAGGAAAAATCCACCATGCCTGAAAATATAAGTGTGGGTTTTTTAATGAGAAAACCAACAAACGATCTAAACTGAAGGAAGAAGTTCAAAGGCCCCAGAGCAGCCAAATCACCGGGATCTCTCAGCTTTGATCCTGGTCGAGTGTTCTATAGAAACCTACATTGATAATTAAGCAACAGGACACTTACAGAATGTTTGTTGGAAGTGAGACAATGTTGGAGCTTCTGGGGCGATGTTGTAGAAATGAGTTTTTAGAGCTCCACTCACCAGTAGATTATATGCCAGATCAGTTATATTGATGCCCACAATTGCAAATGAGTACCTGTAAAGCATAAACCACAAAACCAACTGTGTGTCACATATGGGAAAGAAGCATTTAAAAATATGATAATCTGATTATTAAATTACTATTAAATTATTAGAATGGCAGGTTACCCTTCCCTCTCGATCAAAACCCTGAATTTTGTAATTTACCAGAAAATTCGAGTAATATGTACCAAGAGAATTGAGAGTTCATATGCTTTGACTTGGTAATTCTATTCCCAAATATATGAGAGAAAAAAATCAGAAAGTGACAAAGCTTTATATGCAAGGATATTCACTGCAGCATTATTTATGATGGCAATGGCATGGAAACTATTAAAATATTCTAAAAAAATGATTGGTGAAATAAATGATGGTAATCTCATGTAACATACTATAGCCAATAAAAACTATATTTCTAGAGATTATTTAAGCAGGATATAAAACATGTAGAGAATAGGCCAAGTTTTATTATATACACACAAACGTGCACAGAAAACAGGCTAAAATGAAATGCTACAAAATACTAATATTTGTGTGTTAGAGTAGTAAGATTGGGGTGATTTTTTTTTTCTATTTACTTTCCTATATTTTCTTTTTTTTTTTTAAAGATTGGCACCAGAGCTAACAACCGTTGCCAATCATTTTTTTTTTGGCTGTTTTTTCTCCCCAAATGCCCCCAGTACATAGCTGTATATTTCAGTTGTGGTTCCTTCTAGTTTTGGCATGTGGGATGCCATCTCAGCATGGCCTAATGAGCGTTGCCATGTCTGTGCCCAGGATCCAAACCAGTGAAACCCTGGGCCGCTGAAGCAGAGCGCACTTAACCACTCAGCCATGGGGCCGGCCCCTACTTTCCTATATTTTCTAAATGTTCTATGATAAATTATATAATACTCTTAAAATTAGGAAACACTTAAATAAGTATCTTAACACTCAAGGTACATTTTCTAGTCCTTTTTCTACATATCTGTCAAAAATGAAATGGAACTGAGTTCTTAAGTCCTCTCTGGTAATATAAATCCAACACATTAAAAAAAAGTTCTCTTTTCAGAAATATTTTTGGATGAAATGGGGAATTATCAAAAAAAACTTCTAAAGTAAGTTTTTATCTGATACTTGATAGAAGTTCTTAAAAGAAAATTACCAAATATACTTCTAAATGATAATTTCTGAAAATCATTTCTATATAGTTATCATTTTCTAAACCTTGTCAGTTGGTCACAGGCAATGTAGTATCATGTAATCATATAAATAAAGCCAAAAACATATAAGCAGGTCCTTTTAAAAATTCAACTGGATTGTAGATTTCCATCAGGACAAGTGGGTCTTCATCCTTGTCATCTTTCACAGTGCCCTTAGGACGTCTTTGCTCTGGTTCTGGTTCAGACTGACACCCTTCATATACGAAATCCCCAACTCACCCAATTGCTTTATCCATCCTTTTCTTCTCCCAGTCTGCTTTGCTGAATTTGCTGAATGGATGAATGAACAAATAAATAAATAAGATTTAATTTCTAATTGGTACTTGTTCCCTTAATGTTTACGTTAAAACAGTTAACTAGATGCAGAGATCTGTAACTTGGTTATCAAAACTAATCAACTTCAATGTCATCTATTAAAAAGCCACAATACAATTTATATGGAGCTCAGGAATGGAATTATTTAAAGCCATGCTACTTATCCCGCATTCACTTTAGTACAGTAGTGGGAGACAGCCCTAAAGGCCAATATTAAAATACTCTTTCACACTATCAGTAATTATCAAACACAACACTTCCTCCATGAAACCTCGCCTGGCCTCTCTCTCTCCTCTAACTAGATGCTACCTCCGCTCTCATGATTTCCCATTGCACCTCATTTGGTTTATCTCAGGGTATTTATCCTACTCAGCCCTATTTGCAATGTCTGGCACACAGTAGATGCCAAGTAAACGTTTATAGATTCAGTTAGTGAAAGACAGAAAGAAAGGAAGGAAGGAGGGAGAGGAGGAAAGAAGAAAGGGAAGGAGGATATCTAGGTTTTAAAAATTCCAACAAGTGCTATGGCATTTCCTCCAGCTAAGCTAAGACAGCTAAAACATAGCAGTTCCATTTTAATCCACTTCAGAATTTGAGCTTCTGAATAAGACTGTTTGAAGAGAGCATTCTGTCACAGAAGCACTCGGAAAATACTGCCTTGCCTTCCATTACTTTGTGCACTTGTTTATCCCCCCCATTCTCACCCCCTCCATGCTGCCAATGTCTTATAGGCAGGAGCCATGCTCCACACTTCTTTGTGGCTAATTTAACTTTCATTCGTTGTTTTACACTAAAAAATGTGATTAGCATTTAAACTAAATAAAATTTTAAAACTAGAGTTGTTATGAACATTTAGTTTTCATCTAAGTAGGAAAAGAGAGAGTTCTCATAATACACTGCAAACACTACATTAAAAGATACATGTAATACACACAGCGCAAGACCACAAAAACATGATGCGAAATATATGTACTTTCTACTCAGTACATGACTCATTATAATTCAAAGTAACTGCCTTTACTTTAGTTCATGTTAAAATATGCCACCTCTTTCGTTTGTTTGTTTTTGGTGAAGAAGATTGGCCCTGAGTTAACATCTATTGCCAATCCTCCTCTTTTTGCTTGAGGAAGATTGTTTGGTGAGTTAACATCTGTGCCAACCTTCCTCTATTTTGTATGTGGGACACTGCCACAGCATGGCTTGATGACCAGTGTGTAGATCCACACCTGGGATCTGAACCCATGAACTCCGCCAAAGCAAAGTGTGTGAACTTGACCACTACACCACCAGGCCGGCCCAGTCACCTCTTTTTAAAGTGTAACTGCCAACTAACCAACCAACCAGTCAAAGAGGCATCAGGAGATTTTTATCTAAAAAGACTTATAACCAAACTAAAATGAGTTAGGTGTGAAATTTAGGAAAGTTTATGTAAATGAATTTATAAGCACCTATTTGTTTTTTTTTTTAAAGATTTTATTTTTCCTTTTTCTCCCCAAAGCCCCCCAGTACATAGTTGTATATTCTTCGTTGTGGGTCCTTCAAGTTGTGGCATGTGGGACGCCGCCTCAGCGTGGTTTGAGGAGCAGTGCCATGTCCGCGCCCAGGATTCGAACCAACGAAACACTGGGCTGCCTGCAGCGGAGCACGTGAACTTAACCACTCGGCCACGGGGCCAGCCCCTATAAGCACCTATTTTCTCTTCAACAAATCATAAATATATAGTGTCTCTGTATTTGTTAAGTGAAATCTCTATCTGCATTGGAAATATAAGAAAAGGCCAAAAGACCTCCACTCATGTGATTATTTATAGGATATCCTGGCCCAAAGAGAAGGAATCCCTCCCTTCAGGAAACACACACACACACAACAAAAAAACAAACAAAAACTTAATAGTCAAAATTTTCCTCTTAAACTTCAATCTACTTTTATCCCTCAAGTTACTTCAGGACTCAATGGATGGATGTTCACAAGAGCAATCACATATGCTTGCTGAAGAATAGACAGGAAAGAACTTTCTTTACTATATATTGGCTTCTCCGTGTTGAACCCCTGAAATATTCAGGGCCTGACAGAAACTACGTTGATATGGCAATCAGTCAACATACACTTCTTTCAGACAATGATGAAGGACAGTAGCATTTTCAAAACATTTTGATTTGTATTCAGAGACATTTACCATGAATTTGAAGTGATGAGTACTTGAACTTCATCTAGTCAATTTTATTGTAGCTTGAGGGACAAAGCCTGGTAGTTTTATCTACATGCCTACACACACACAAACACACACACACACACAAATGCTAGGCTCTCCTTAAATAAGAGCAATCACACAAACCCTGAAATACCTCCTCTCTGATAGCTCACACAGGAGATAAAACTATAAAGCCTTTTTTGGAGAACGGCTCATAGACAAAATTAACCTCCCTCCAATGGTCAATCAAAAAATATTTGAAGCTTATTGTCACTTCCCGAGGACCATGGAGGATTCCTGTCCTCTGGCTGGTGCTCCTCCAGGAAATGCCACTTGTCAGTGCACACAGACGACTCAGCCAATTTTAGAGGGATTATGTTACAGAAATATGCAATTCAGAAAATGTCGTTAATAAATAAAATAAATTTAAAAAATTAAAATTGATTTTAACCATGTAATATGTCAAGAAAGAGCTAAATGGTCTTAGTGTTTTTCAAAAAGTAAATAAAAGGTAAAGAAAATGAAAATTTAATCTTATAAAAGATTACAAATACAAATTTGGGACATATAGTATGATTTAATGAACCTTAGCCAATAGCAACTAGAATAAGTAAAATAGCAAGGTGGGAGGGGGCCCCAAAGTCAACCTGTTTCTGAATTTCAACAACAGTGTATGAAATTTTGGACTTATTTAGCAAACATGAGTGCTAACAAGGAACTTGCTATGCTGAGGAGAAAAAAGTGAGACAAAACCACGACTGCAAATAGTAGAACTCCTTATAATAAGAGTAAAGTATATATATAATAACTACTATTTATAATAATAAAATTAGAAATATATTAATAGAAGAGCAAATTTGCTCTGTGCAACAAATTTCCCAAATAAAATGTCCCTCTCTGGCGAGTAGGTGGGGTCACAGCACGCGTGATGAGGGATCAGCCTTTAGGTGAAGTGTTCAAAATGTGTCTCCAACCAGCATAGTTAAGGCTGTAGAAAGACTCTGACATTTTCTATCAGGTTGGTCTAATCTGATTTTTCCTTCACTAAAACACAGCCCAAATATAATAAAACTATATCATATAAAAAGTTGGGAAATGTTGCTTTTTGAAACTTTTTCATGAATTTATATTTATTTAAAAATTTTTACTCACACTTATTCTAAAATAAAATAAAAGTAACAAAACACAAAAGCAAAGAAAAGAATACCTTATTTCCTCTTTAGTGATATCCCTTCATGTAATCAGTTAAAGAAAAAAAAATTAGAAAGGTAAATGAAAGTGCAAGTAATTCAGAATCTAAAATTTTACGAAAAGCAAATCAAAAACCCACCTCAGCAATTCCAGACTTTCTCAGTTGGCCCCTGACATCATGACTTCCATTCTCCCCTCTATTCCCCCATCATGCTCCCTTGTCTCTGATCTCTTTCTCCCAGACTCTGCTTCCTCTTTCTTCCAGGCCCACGTCCTTAATCTTTCAGGACCCCAGTGATGTTATTAGTGCCTTTAAATACATATGTCACTTGAATGGTGCCACTTCACATCCTAAATCCCGAAATAAGAACCGGAAGTTTTAACTTCCCTGTTCAGCATTTGTCAAAATGGCGCGTGTGAAAGAGCTTTCAGCCTCACCTCAGCTGGGCTGACTCTCCTGAGAATCTCATAAGTATATCCACTAGGAGACGAAGTTAATTCTACCTAATCCATAAAGCCTAATGCATCTTTTATTTCCAACAATTACCTGCACTTGGGATGAAGAGAGTCAGAGAGGACCTGCTGAGCTGCCGCCGCGTCCCTTTCAGCAAAATACCTGTGGTTGGAGGGAAAGAAAACCGTAAGTCCACACCTGTGGATTACATTCATTTTAATCCAATCTCAGGCCACTTTGCATTCAGAGATGGACATCAGCAGAAGATTATCGCTTGTTTCAGCTCCTCCAGAGAATGAACAGCTTTTCATAATCGAATTTTCCAAATATATTGACAGAATAATAGAGTAGTTGTAAAACTCACATAGATCTAGGAATGAGTCCGGTAGTTTTGAAACTTAGTTATGAACTTTACCATCCCCAGAGAGCTAAGAATATTCTTCTTAAGGAGGGATAGAAGTCAGACGGAGAAAGACAAATAATGTATGATTTCACTCATATGTGGAAGATAAACACATAGATAAGGAGAACAGGTTAGTGGTTGCCAGAGGGGAAGGGGGTGGGGGGAGGGTGGATGGGGTAAAGGGGCACATATGTATGGTGACAGATAAAAACTAGACTATTGGTGGTGAGCACAATGCAGTCTATACAGAAACTGAAATATAATAATGTACATCCGAAATTACACAATGTTATAAGCCAATATGACCTCAATAAAATTAAAAAAAAAAAGAAGGGATATAGATGGGGGGCAGGATGAGGCCCCTCAGAAGGCAGAAGCCTGGATGAAAGGGACATGGTGAGGGGCTGTGACAGCCAAAGTTGGAGAGAGAGAAAGAGATTAGAGGAAGAGAGAGAGGATGCGTTTCAAATGCATTTTTCTTGGAGCATATACATGCAGTATTTGAATTCTGGATGAACGGAAAATATCTTATAGAGCTTAGGGATGTTAAAAATAAAATTCTGTTCTGGGGAGAAAGGCACAGTGAAGCTTCCTAATAAACACAAAAAGCTTACATACTCTCAAAAACACATCGTAAAAAGTGCTTCATAAAGAATTATAAAGTAAAATTATAGCATATATTACTTAACTTGATGTATATAAATTTCTTGCATAAATCTAAACCATAAACAAGCTCTTGAATTTTCTCTCAGAAAATCTCAAACCAAAGTCAGCAATTTGAACACATATGTCCATGATTATTAATAAAATTGAGTCTATTTTCGTACTGCTGTTGGTCATCCTGGTTTCCTCTTTTATATCTTGTCTGTTCAAATTTCTTGGTCCAGTGTATCTAAAAATGTCTCAAATAAATGAGATAAATAACCAGATAGAGAATAATATCCTGGATATGGATCCTTTATCATTTATATTAGTGCAAGTCTTGGCTTATCTTTTCACTTTGTTTATGGTGGCTTATCCTACAAAAGTTTTCTATTTTAATGTGTGAAATTTATTGATTTTTCTAGTTTATGCTTTTTTTGGTCCGTCTTTAAGAGAGACCTCTTTATACACATATCTGAAAGATTGTCTCCTAAAAGTTGTAAAGACTTGTTTTTGACATTCAATTTGCGAATTGAGGTGAGGTGCAGATTTAATTTTATTTTTTTCTAAATGGAAGGCCAAGTGTCCCAGTTCTACATATTCAGAAGCTCATCCTTTACCCACTTATTTGTAACACCACATCTGTTATCAAAATTTACTTTTTATTCATTCACATTACTTAATAATGTGGCATTTAAAACATTTCATAAAAGATTAAACTTCCTAAATTTAAAATAAAGGCATAGATACATGGAAAAAATGGGGTGCCATCAAAAATGACTGAGTAAGGCTTAATTTCTTTTAAAAATACACCACTATCCTCACTAATAGGATGATGTTAAAGGACACAAGAAGCAACTTAAAAGGACTCCCTTTGGCTTGAAAAATAATAGCTACATGTGACTCAACTTAAGTGTGAAGAAAATAAGAAGCACAATTAGTTGAATCACAACCAGCATATAAAAACCAGTAGTTACAAATGATATTTAAAAAATACAGACATAAAGCAAAAAAAGGTTTTTTTGGTCACTAACAAGGGAACTAGGACACCAATTCCTCACTCTGAAAACTGGCAACTAAATAGAAAAATTGAGCATCTGTCCTGCCTATATTTTAGAGAAACCAAATTACCATAGTTGATGAAGGAAAATGAGTCTTTACAGAATTCCAGCCAAAAGTTGTGGGAAGAATAACAGAATTAGAAGGGCACTTTTCGCATAATTAATTAATTGGTTGAATGAAGATCATAGAAGGACGAAATGATTAGATAAAAGGCTGATGGGGGATTTTGCAACGGATTTTACAGGCTGTGGATCCTCTGATCCATCTCAGCGTAGGACTGGGAGTGGGGACACCACAGGCCTCCCCCCGTGATGTCAACCTGAACCTACTCAAGCCTTTCCAAATACCTCCAATTTTCAGGACATACAGGGAATGGGTACAAATGCAAACAGAAAATCCAGACCATGGGGCACTTTAGAGGACAGCTGACCTGGAATCTTGCACAGGTTAATGACACTGGGGAGGGGACAAAAGGTCAGGGCAGAGGGGAGAGACACAATAACTAACTGCAACGTGTAGATCTTGTATGGAACTGAATTAGAACAAAAAAGCTATAAAAAGACATTTTTGAGAGAACTGGGAAATTTTCACATGGACTGGATATACATGACACCAAGGAATCATTGTTAATTTTGTCAGATGTGATAATGGCATTGTGGTTAATGTAAGGTAATACTGATTTTTTTTAGAGCCACATATTGAAATATGAGGGTGAAATGACAAATAGTATAGGATTTTCATTAACACACCCGCCAAAAAAAACGAGCATTGCAGGTATTTCAAAACCTCAATAATGACTGAATCTGGGCGATCAGTATAAGGAGAGTTCTTTACAATCTTCCCTCTTTATTTGAAGAACTTGAAATTTTTCATAATAAAAAATGAAAAATAAAACCATTTGCGATTTGCTTTAAAAAATCATGATGTTTGTCAAAGAAAGGAAAGATGGTAGTAGCTTTTTAATTCTGCAAACCTGAGTTCTCTCTCAGAGGACTGGAGCATTTTCTTGGAGTCCTCTGGGAAGTGGCTTTTTGACCTAATAACTCAACTTTGCCATTTCCATATGAGGAGACCAGAACGTCACTTTAACGCTCAACCATGCTTCATTTTACTTACTGCAAGTTGTACAGTCCCAGGAGTCCCATTCCTCGAAAATCTGTCTTAGGATCATCACCTTGGAAACCAATTTCACACCATTGCTTGGAAATCCGAGATTCCAAAGGAGTATTGGGCTTCAGGAATTTCCATAACTGGAGATAAGAAAGAAAATTAGCCTGTTGATATAAACACACAAATACTCTTTCCTACTGGCTCAAAAATCTCCTCCTTTACATTATTAGAGGAGATCTGCAAAGCTGAATATATGTAAATACATTACAATTAAAGATTTGATCATCTTTCAATTATGTAAGACATCAGTTCGCAATGTATGGTCTGAAGACTCCTTGGAAGGACCCTAAGACCTTTTCTGAGGGTCTGTGAGGTAAAAACAGTTTCATAATAAAATTAAGATATTATTTGCCTTTTTATTCTCATCTTCTTGTTGAGCATATAGTGGAATTTTCTGGAGGCTGTATGATGTGATGATGTCATCACTCTGAAGGCAATGGACTATGCACTATTTTGGTGTTTTACATCTTTCTGTTTTAATTTCCACTCAGAAATATATATATATATATATTATCTCCCATAAAAGCTCTTTGGAGTTCTCAAAAATATTTAAGAGAATTTATTTTTGGTGAGGAAGATTGGCCCTGAGCTAACATCTGTTGTCAATCTTCCTCTTTTTGCTTGAGGAAAATTGTCACTGAGCTAACATCTGTGCCAATCTTCCTCTACTTTATGTGGGATGCCACCATAGCGTGGCTTGACGAGCCATGCTAGATCCATGCCTGAGATCCAAACCCACAAATTCCGGGCTGCTGAAGCAGAGCACGTGTGAACTTAACCACCACGCCACTGGGCCGGCCCTAAGAGAATATTTTTAAGAGAAAATATTGAGGCTATGTGTTATTCAAATTCTCAGAACATGCTTTTCTACTTACATAGGAAAACCTTTAGCAACATTGTTAACAAAAAGAAGAGTAAACTGACTTGAGTTTCATTTCTCACCTATACCAGGGGTGAGAGCAATAATGGTCATGAATAAACCTCAAAATATATTATCATCTTTAAGAGTTACCTAAAAAAACTTCAATTACAATCAATTATATATATTAATTTACAAATATAAATTCTAAACACTGTGCTGTTCACTGCTTAAGAAACTGGTTCTATTTTTTCTAAGTTTTCTACAGGAAGAGAGATTCTGCACATATAATTACTTGAGAGAGAGAGAAAGGTTGAGACACACAGTTGTATAAATACGTAATGCTGGAACCATTAGTTCTGTCTAATAAACAATGATAAGCATGAAAGCAAATTTACTTTTTAGCCTATAAATAATATTTTATATTATATCTTCATTATTGACAAATACAAACATAAAATGTCCCTGTTTCTATTTCAGACATTATCCAAATTTTAAAGTGCTTATTCTATGTTATACGATTTCAAAGCTTAAACAGAACAGTAGTACGCAAACATCTTGCTTTATAGTGAATTGCCACATTTCTGACAAGTATAAAATAATGTTCAACGACAGGAAATACTAATCAAAAAAGAGTTGTAATTCATGAAAGTTATTTTAGGCATTAATCCAAAATTACCTATTATTCAAATGATACAATATTTTATGTTAGTTTCACAACAGGTAAATTCAATCTAAAGAGTGAGAAAAAATTTCAGAGGAAAGAAAGTAAATCTATCATGTGCGAAAGCAAAATATCAAACAATGGTATAAGAAATTTTTTTTATATTATTTATAGAAGAATTTGCCAGTGCTCTGCATTCCTCGAAACAGAAAATTTCTGAGTTCATCAGAAAAGTACTAAAAGATGTGAGAAAAGGTCACTTAAAAAATCCTTTAGGAACTGATCTGGTTACTGCTACAATGGAAAAAAAAAAAGAAACAAAAGGAAACAGATTGTAAAGCTCATCACATTCATTTAAATAACATTTTTAAGTAATCTCAGGGTCCTACACAGTTTAAAAATACCTAGTTTCATGAGTGAGTGGAGTAAAATGGCAAAAGCAAGCATTTTATTTCTACAGGTAAAGTTACAAGCCTCATTCATCAGGGGAATACTTTGTTTGTGGGGTAAAAAGTTTGAATAATAAAATGCTTTAAAAAACCCCTCCATTTTAATAATTTCATGTATGATGACAGACTAGACTAATGGATAAAACATGTTCTTAATTAAATCCTTAATCCTTTCTTCTTTAATAAGGGTCTCTTTCCTGGAAAATGAAAGTCGATTATGCTAAAATACTTCTATGAAGTACACCATGTGTCTATGTCCTGTAAGAACGCTTGAGCCGCTGGATTCTCTTCTGATAGGCAGGCTCTTTCCTGAAAAGGAGGAAGAGGGTGGGAAGCAGGTGTCCCTGAAGGGTGAGGTCATTTCTTGCATGTAGGAAGCTGACTGGAAATCTGAACTAAAGTGGCAGGCCTCTGGTGGAGGGGCTCTCAGGAGTGCAGCCATGTAAGACTGTGCTACTGGGAGCAGAGTTATGGCAAAGCCACCAGCCAAGTGCAGGAGACCAAAGCTAGGAAGGGTGATTCCTGTGGTAGATGACAAGGTACATGTGTGGAAGCTGCACTCTGAGTCAGTCTATCACCCATCATGGCCTGTGCTCTCTGTGCAATTCTCTTCTCTTTGCACTCAGTCTTTACCACAAGCTTATTTGCCTTGCCTCAGGTCTGTAGCAGAACAGAACGGGCAAGGCCATCTGTCTATCATTCATTCGAGGAGAAGCAGTTTCTCTCTGAGGCCACCATGGAACTGTCTCTTCCTATCAGGAGAAGACTTTATAATTCTGGGTTATATTTTTTCTATTAAGTGTATGAATCCACCTAAAATTTTGCCTTTATTATTAATTTGGTTAGAAACATTTAATAGAAATGTGCATTTGAATAACTCATATGGACAGTGCTACATGTTATACAGTTTCATCCCAGTCTATATTTAAATGATTATAAAATCCAGATTTTTGGGGCCAGCCTCGTGGCCAAGTGGTTACGTTTGCGCACTTGGCTTTGGCGGCCCAGGGTTTCACTGGTTCAGAACCTGGGTGCAGACCTAGAACCGCTCATCAAGCCATGCTGAGGTGCTGTCCCACATGCCACAACTAAAAGGACCCACAACTAGAATATACAACTAGGTATGGGGGCGGTTTTGGGGAGAAGAAGAAAAAATTAAAAGAAAAAAATCCAGATTTTTTATCCTCTAAGACTTTAAGTAGAAACACTGATCCTGTGTTTCTATAAATTATAGACTTTTTGTATAAAATATAAAAATAAACATATATTTATTTATATAAACTATAAATCAAAGCACTTAAACAATGTGGCAATATATTACCCAAGCCTCTAAACCAAGAGTCGGCAGACTTTGTAAAGGGCCAGATAGTAAATATTTAGGCTTTGGTGGCCATACAGTCATTACTGCAACTATTTAATTTTGCCATCGTAGTACAAAAACAGCCACAAACAATACCTAAATGAATGAATGGATGTGTCCAACAAAACTTTGCTTACAAAAATGGGTCCTGGCCAGATTGGGACCACAGGTTTTAGTTTGCTGACCCTTGCTCTAAACATTTTTATGAAGTCAGTGGTACCAAGAGTGTTATTACCCATTTTAAAGATGAAGCAGCCTAAGCTGAGGCAGTTAAACAAACCACGGGCCAGCCCCTGGAAACACAAATGTGAGCAAGACATGAGGTAGTGCAGGGCACCAGGTCAGAGCCCTTTCTAATCACCTGGGCAGTCATTTAACTGCCCAGCCTCAGTTTCCTCATCTGAAAAGTGGGAATAATGCCAAAGTCTCACCTCAAGGTTCTTGTGACAACAAATGAAATAATGCTATAAAATACTTACTGTGATGATTGGCACATATTAAACATTCAATGAATGTTTCATTACTACTGATTTTATTATTATCATACTTGGACTTTGAATAAACTGAAGAGGAGAATCAAGACCCCACTCTTAAGTTCCTAAGTTTGCTTGGGGAGACTAGTAGAAGATTTCAAAATTCAATGAATAAGGATTCAAAAAAGTGAGCCAGCTTCTGCTGTGAGAATAGTGCTAACAGAGCGATGAGCAGGAGCAAATACCTGGGCCTAGGGGATGGCATGGCCTATTCTGGGTCAGGATGAATGACAGCATGGTGGAAATGTGCTATACGTAATGGAGGTCCAGGAGACAGAGTCTAAAGGAATAAATTGGAAAGGGTCCAAAATGCAGGCTAAGCTGCGTGGGCTTCCTACAATCAGACATTAGGGACCCTGAAGTTTTTAATCTAGAGACTAATAACATGACTAGGTAGTCCCTCCAGCAGTGTTTGAGAAGATGGAAGGGAGGAAGCTAATGGTTAGTGGTGGAATTAAAAGGCTATTTTAATAGCTCAAGTTGGAGATGATGGTTAGAATAAGGTAGTAGGCATGGAAAACATACGAGAGGTATTTTGGGGGGGGCTCTATGGGTAAGATTCAGTGATGTTTGTAGATGCAGAGTATCTCCCCAATCAGATTGCAAGCCACTTGCAGGTGGAAAAGATGCCTTTCCTCAAAGGGCCTAAGGCAGTGGTCGACAGTCCTGGCTTTATCATTTACTAGCTGTGTGAATCAGAGCCTGTACTAAAATGCTTGTAGTTTGCACACCTCTAAACTAAAGATAACAACCATCATCTTGCCCCCCTCTTATAGCTGTGACAATAAAAAATGATAACACATACATACTCAAATCATGACCACAGATAAAAGCCATGTCATAAAAGTTCTTGACATGTATCTAATGAACTACTATAATTCATGTATTCGCCCACACTTGTTGAAAACCCACTATGTGCCAGCACACATTCAACAGATCAGTTAAGATGGTGCAATGCAGGTACCCAAATGTCATTGATTCAGAGGGCATCTGAGCCATTCTAAAGGATTGTTCAGGCCCTTGGGGCCAGTCTGTTCATTATACCACTTTTCTCTTTTATTCACCTCTTATTTCCCATCTTGAGGTCATTGCATTGAGTTTGACTACCTCTATCAGAAAACAGAAAATAGAAGGCAATAAAAGGAGATGAAGCTCAGCCAGCAGGTTGGCTAAAGTTAAGCAGAGGCGAGAGGGAAGAAGAAAAACTATTGCTATGAATGAGGCTCCTTTAATTTTTAATGATTCACAAAGATCTAGCACTAATTAGTAGTGACAAATGAGTCATCTGCTTAAGTACTTACATACACAAAAACACACACTCCTTCACACAAAAATATAACGGGCTACATTGTTAAAATTACACCCTCTATTGATATTTTTCAATAAAATAAAGTTAAGGCAGCCAAACAAATGTTTTCTTCCAATTTTCTTTCTGCCTTTTTGAATCCTAGGAAAGGACAAGGAAGCACGCCATCCTAAAAAGCATCTATTTTCAGAAATCAATTTAGAAAATATTTCAGATGAGTAGTTATAAAGCTTGGTCTTAATTTTTTTGGTCTGAATTTTTTTTAACTCAAAATTCAGTGTTTTGAGGTAAAGTTTTATTGATGTTTCATAATACACCATCAGATCCTACGAGCCTTTTAAGGTTTTGCTTTGACAGCTGGAAGGAGTATTTATAACTGCATGTTATTCTTCCAATGGTTTCAATACACCAGATATAAACCTTTACCTCTTCTTCTAATACTCTCCAAGTTACATAAATAAATAATCAGCATTAAGATCTTGGGTAATTTCCCAAGAGGGCTATTGCTGAAGCAGAAACCAACTTCATCTTCTTTGATGTCTATTAAAAGTCATAAAAGGAAATCCCAGGTCAGTCTTTGACAAATGCTATTACTCCTATTGGCTTTCAACACAGTTAAACAAGCTAAACTTGAGTCAAATGTGAGAGCCCAGAGAAATCTGACGCTTTTTCAGATTAAAAAACTTATATTTAAGCTCTCATGTGAACCTTCTAATGAAGAATTTGCCTCCAACAGTTGAACCAGCAAGAAAAGTAGCCTTTACCAACAGTTCAGTGCCCACGTCTTACTCATCTTTGTTCCCCCACGTCCAGAGCAGGGCCTAGCACACAGTAGGCACTTGGCAAACATCAGCTGACCTAAGTGAAGGACTGAACTGTGCTTAAGGACTAACCTTCAAAAGCATTTCTTCATGTTGAGGATTATCAGAATCATAGGGTTCTCTGCGTAGTTTTTCCACATCTGCAATAAGGTTCCTGTACCCAACGATTTGCAGAAGGCAAGCCTGAAGAGAGATTCCCAGCCTAAGGTGTTCAAAAAGAGAAATACATGAGGAAAAACAGAAAATACACTTTGGTGTTTGTTCACTTGATGTATGCACAATATGACTTTTCATTTTATTTAATATTTAGGAAATTGCTCAAATTGGATCTATTTAACAGAAGCACAATTTCTTACTGAAGTGCCACATGGATAGTTCTGGGACTTGGTTAAATTTACCTCTCATTCTGGCCTTTTCTTAAGTCCAGTTGCAACAATATGGTTTAAAAAAACAAGGGAGCTCATTATGCAGGCAACTTGAAAGAAAGATGTAGAAAATAAAGGTGATAATGGGTTCTTAAGGGATCATTTAGTCCCCCCAGGTGGGTATATTAGAAACACCTCAAAGAGGTGTGTGTGGCAGGGGTGGGAGGAGGAGAAAGAGAGAGACAGAAAAAAAGAGAGAGACAGAGAGAGAAAGCCCTCAGGGGCTTAGGGATAAGAAAAATTTTCAAAGCAAAACAAAACAATAACGACAACAAAAACACCTCTGCTTAGGAGCATCCCTAATAGACTGAGGCACTGCCAAGAGAAAGAACTCACTACTTTACAAAATTTCCTTTTCATTCCAACTGCTCTAGTTGTCCGAGTGTTTTTCTTGAGGCTGAAACAAAATCTGCTTTCCTTATTACCAAGTGGTTCAAATTCTGTTCTCTGAGCAAATTTATTTCCATTTTTTCCCTACCATGCCTATTTATTTTAAGATAGCAATTCTTTCTTCTAGTCTCATCCCCAGGGTAAAAAAAAAAAATCCCTCATTCCTTCAATTCCCTCTCATGGGACACGGTTTTCAGATGTTTTACTGTCTTGCTGAGTCTGCTCTGAATGTACACTGTTTGATTAATAGCCCCCTTAAAACTTATCACCAGAACAGAGAACAATCTGGCACATTACTTCCTGTGATCTGAATGCTCTTTTTCTCTCCTACAATGTAGAAGGTAAACTAGAGTCTCTTTCAGCAGTCATTACAACTTTATTAAACAGGTGGGTAAATAATCACCAGGATCCTTTTTCACATAAACTACTGTCATGTAAATTACTCTCCTCTACTTGTGTTATGGCATTTTTAAATCTAAAGGTGGCATTTCATGTTTATTTATTCCCGCTAAGTTCTTTTGTGGTTCAGAAATGGTTGAACATAAGCAGTTTCACATGATTCAACCCAAGAATTACTGTCCAATATACTCCTACTCCTAATTTATTCACTAAAGTTTTGTTGTTGTTGCAGTGGTCATTATAATCGTGATGATGGTGTCATCATAATCTTCTTTTTTGGGGGTGAATGAGATGTATAGAGGTGAAATCTAAAGTTAGGGACAATAGAGAATTACAAGTCTTAGGATTGTATACTTATTCCAAACATAGAGGGCAGTGTCCAATAATCCAGAAGACTGAACTTAATAAAACTGAATATTCCATAAATGGCCTTTATAATTACTTGTGACTATAGCATCAGAGGACTAAATAAGATATTTAAATTTAGGAAAAGGGGACAGTGCCACTGACCACCTGGAAAATCAACGCAGGACTGAGAAGAGAAAAAATGTAATTAATTGTAATTGAAAAAAACATAATTAAAGTGAGGTTAATAGTAGTAATGGCTTGATAAATTATAGAATATTTCCCCCAGCCCTCCCTCCTATTTCTTGTTTCTTTTTCAGAAAATCATTTAATTTTTTAAAAATCACATTTTGTCAACGTTAATCTGGTAAAAAGCACTAGAATCCATATTGAGATATAAAAACACAATTTACTACATACAAGGATTTTTCCCCGTAAAGGAAATCAAAAAAATAGATAGCGAGGAAATGCTTTTGAATGAAACATAAAACTGACATAGAAAAGATGTGCTATTAAATCATAATCTGTAAATATGATTATAGGACTAATATATTCCTCATGCCCAATTGTAGTCTTAAATTTTTGGTTCAACGTAATTTAAAATGAATTGTCTTCTTATCACCTTCCCAGAGGAGTAAAATATATGTCACAAGGTTTCAAAAAGACATTTATTGCATAATTAAATCAACCTTCAATGGCTGAATAAGGAAAAGGGAGCTAATTAGCTGAAGTGGCTGCAGAAGGATGCTATGGCAACCACGTGGAAATGGAGTTTTGTGATGAGCCCCAATTAGCTAGTCCCTAAAATCTCTCCAAGAGACAGACCTATACAAGGTGCAATCTGAAATTCCCCTCAACAATGGCTCCCAGTCTTCGGCAATTAAAAGCATTTCTCAGCGACAACATTTGAGATTCCCGTGTATGCACATCTATCTAGAAGACAGTTTGATTGTTACCTACCTAAACTGTCGCTAAATATCTCTGCATGCAGAATTTATTCTATCCAATATCCTTAGCCCAAAGTTTTACTGAAAAATTCCTGTGCTCAATGGAAAATATAAAGCTAAATTTTAAACATCATGTACGTTGCCAAATGTATTTTAATACTTCCAAGACGAGATGACTAAATTACAAAGTTCTAAAGTCCTTGTACAAAAACCATCTCTCCCACACACATGCCTGTCTTCTTGACAAGCAGGTAGGAACTGTCTCCAAGATTATCAGCCTGTCATGAACCGAAGGAATATTTTTGATGGAGCAGAATCAGCTCCAGCACATTTACGATTTGAACATTTACTGTTAATGTAAAACATAGGCAGCACATAGAGCAACTGTCGATGAATGGTTCCCCTTTATTTCATCTTCCGATATCAGGGGCATCCATCAGATTTCTTGCATTCATTGTATCTCAGAAGCACCTGCATAAATCACAACCAAGGTACAGAGTTGCTGCCATTTACAAACATGAAAAAGGCCCCTTTTCTCTTTTATCCTTCATCTGAAAGTCAAAACATGGCAGACGATTGTTTTAGGGGGGAAGGGGGAGCTGGGGAGAGGGAGAGAGAATGAAAGAGAGAGAAAGAGATTGAGAGCACACTCAAATGAGTGCTATAGAACCACTACACATGTGGCCATGTGACTTGTGTTCTATATTTTCAACAAAATAAATTCTTACTGTGGGTTTATGTCGGGGTTAATTTTTTTCAGTTCCATGATGTCGTCTATGGTTTTTTCAATAGCATCAGGGTGGACGCTCACTGAAGTCTGCAACAGCTGGAAAACATTTTTCAGTCAGTCCCCTTGTCACGAGCACCAGTGGCTTAAGCAGGGTCTACTTAGACAGGGGTTTCAAGTATTTGGTTAAAGCTTCTATAGGAAGATACTAACCTAAACTAAAAGCAAAAATTGATTTAGTTTTGGAATTCTAGTAAATTTGACATTTTCACAATGGGGGTAGTGCAATTTTCCCGATTAAGGTAATTAACATAAAAACACAAATACATATGATTTTTCTAACCTCTTCCATCTGTTTCAAGCTACTTACGTTGAAATATTTTCTTTTTTCCCAAACAATATGACTTCCATGGTTAATGGGCATCATGTATATGATTAAAGAGTGAAGTACTTAGGGGAGATTAGTCTTAAGGATGCTAAAATTAAATAACAATATAGAATTATAAAGAATCTTGAAAAAGAAAACAGATTTTCTTTCTTATGTGGATGCTTAACTATGTGCTATAAAAGCTCGCATGGTGGCTTCTTTGGTTTTCTTGGAAAATATTTTTTTTCTCAGATACATTAGACAAATGGTATATTTCTTCACGATTCAATCTGCTGAACTCAGCAACCATCATAGTATGGAAAATCTTGAGTATAAAGTTAAATGATTTGGATATTGAAGGAAATACCAGAGTTAATGATGTATGTATTTTCAAGGAATATGTATTTTATGATTTGGAAAGAGGTATAAAGAAGATTAATCCAACAATGAAGTAATAAGTGCTTCATAAATCTGCCTAGAAATTCACATACAGTGGCTGCTCTCATGTCAAAAGTACAGTGGTTTGTGATGGGCAAACGCTTCTTTCTTCTCAGTTTGTAGGGCCAATGGTATATTTCTTAAAATTTTTACTTTTGATGATGGAGGTAAGCCTCTAGGTGAAAAGTTGCTGAAAAATATAGAAATGATCTCACTTACCTTACTTTTTGAATCCCTCAGTGATGTTTCTGTAAAACAGAGAATAAAAAAAGTCATGCAAAAATTATCCTTTATGAGTTGTTTAAAATTACTATAGTGAAATATAACACTGTATCCTCCATCCCAGCAAGCTTGCATTTTGCTTACTTCTTTGTTTCACGCTTACCGATTTTCATGGTTCTAGAAGCTCCAGGCTTGGTATTGTAACAGATCCGTTGCAGTTCACATCTTCCAGTCAGCTTCCTCATTACAAATTTCAGGCAGCGCCACAAAAATGTGCAGTAAAAATATAGGCACACTTGGATCAACATTCTGTCAAAAACAAAAGACAGCACCCTTCCAATAGAACTCTGGAAGGGAAGAGAAAGCAGCCACCACCAGCAAGAAAAGAACCCCACAAGAAAAGCAACCATTAGACTCCTGGGTTTACAAGCATATTTCATTTTTCTAATCCCATGTTATTTTATTTCTGGTAGCTACACAACCCATCATTGAGAGGGAAGCCCAAGGTCTGTGAAGACGCTCTTACTATGACTGCAAGCAACTCCAGAATACCCTGTGCTAACAAATTTGATATTCCAACAAACTGAGGATGAAGCACGGGAATCCTCTCTTTTCTTCCCTTTGCCTAAAAACATTTTGAAAAGAAATCAGTACCTTGAAAAGAGAATCTTTGTGTTTTAGGAGTTGTCTCACCCTTAGACATGGGGGAAAGAACGTGTTATGGCAACTCTCATCTTCTGCCTCTGAGGACAGCTTCTCAGCTCACTCTGGTTCATTACCAGCCCCTCCTCAGTGCCTTTTTTTGGGCCACTATTTTATTTCTTCCCTTGTTTCCATTCTTTCCTCCTTCCCTCTGCTTTCCTTCAGGCACTGTTGTCCTCCCTAAGGACTTGGTTGTATGGCCACCTGTCTTCTCTGCTGACCAATCCCAACACTTCTTGGACTTGCCAGAGGCCTCCCCCTCAGTTCACTGAACAAAGCACATTGACCTTTGGTTCCCCAACGTTCTCTGATTTAAGCCTTCCCCAAACTCCTACCTCTTGACAAGTTTGTTCCTGGCTCTTGCCAAACAAATTTTTCTTTATTGCACACCCTATCTTACTCCAATAGTACCTCAACAAGCTATGAAGTATATTGTCATCAATTATGCACTTATTCACGATATCTCTGGCACATGAGAATTTGTGTTTTATGCTGACTTTTAGTTTTTAATATGTGAGTGCCTACTGCTTCACAGTCCTGCTCAGAGTCTCAAAATGACTCAAGCTATAGAAGTAAAGAGGACTTATCATCCAGGAACTTATTTTCAACTCATCTTCTCTTAATACTCTGCATTCGTAGGAGGCAGAATTATTTATATTACTTCCTATTGGTGTCACTTCTAAAAGATGGATTTTTTCCTCCAACGTCCACTAATTCCCTCCAGTGCTAACATAAGGTGATCCAGGGTCATTCAGATGAATAGGAGTAGTCAACTAATAGCCTCAGTGATGTGATCCATCCCTGAATATGAACCAACGCCTTGACTGTGTTCCTATGCTCAAATTGCTCTGACTCCAATATCTTGAACAGCCTGTGTTAAAAATAAAAATTCCAGGGGCTGGCCCCGTGGCCGAGTGGTTAAGTTCGCGCGCTCCGCTGCAAGCGGCCCAGTGTTTCGTTGGTTCGAATCCTGGGCGCGGACATGGCACTGCTCATCAAACCACGCTGAGGCAGCGTCCCACATGCCACAACTAGAGGGACCCACAACGAAGAATATACAACTATGTACTGGGGGGCTTTGGGGAGAAAAAGGAAAAAATAAAATCTTTAAAATAAATAAATAAATAAATAAATAAATAAAAATAAAAATTCCAACAGGCTAACTTGTACAACAGCGTGGAGTCTATATCATATAAATGCAAAGGGAATATGGAGGAAACAGTATAAGTAACCAAATTGCTACACTAAGATAACACAATGGAATCCTTTGTAGGCAGTCAAATTATGTTCTAGAATATCTAACAACATGAGAAAAATGCCCATAATATTCTTATAAAATAGAAAAAAGTTAGAAAGGAATGTGTATGGAATGATCTACTTTTTCTTTAAAAAATCAAGTAAAAAATTTTAATGGTGATATATGAACAAGGAGGAAAATACTGGCAGGATACAGGACAAAAACGCTAACAGTGGTATTTTTTGGTTAAGTATATTTTCATTTTTTTCTATAATAAGTAAGTATTATTCTATTTAAGAAAAAAAGAAAGTTTTAACAACAATTAAAATGTACTAAATGATCACCAAAAGCCATTACAAAGTGCATATAAAATTTCTATGTGAAGTCAGATTCTGCTGAAAGACAAAAAATGGATTTACTATGTCGTAAAGTCTGCAATTCAACTGTTTTAGTCAAATATGTTTTAAGATCTATTAGGATTTGGGTATTAGCTTTCATAAAAAATGGAACCCTAACAACAAAATTAGTGGAACATTTTAATTAGATGAGTGAAAAATTAGATGAGCAAAACCTCAACTTGCTCTCTTGGAAAAGGTTTTCCAGTTTTCCAATTATTGGATAGCTATGCCAAAAAAAAAAAAAAAAAAAAAAGATTGAGCAATATATTGGTTAACTGGTCACCAGCAAAGTGATAATGATATTAATTACTGGTTGGCATTGTTCTTATTACTAAGTCAAGTGAAGTTTGACTTATTCTATTCTATTACTTATTCCAGTAAAGTTTGTCTAGCATGTGGGCCACTTCCTCAAATGAAGCCTCTTTTAAGTCTGTGAATCAGGACTCCATGATAATCAAGTTCTTGTGACACTAAATCTTCCCAGAGAAAAGAGCTCTGATTATTGCTTAAGGAGCATCTTTGTACTCGCCCTACTTAGGGTACAAGCCACCAGATCATATTATAGCTCAGATCAAACCATAGAAAGTTTCCCTGGTGCAACCTCTCTGTTAGATCTACACAAAGATGTGACTTGAGATGGAGAGGTGTCACTCTAGGTAGCAGGAAGTGTCCAGAGGGAGAGTGGCTTATAGCCCGTCTGTAATTTCTCCCATTGGCCTCCTTGCATATGAGAAGAAAATGCCTGGGGAACTGTTTTCATCAAGACAGTCTTACATAAGAGGGAGAAAAGACATCATGTTCTATTTGCTTTTATCTTTTTTTTCAACTCCCCTGAGGATTTTCACACTGTCAAAGACAGGGAAACCCAGCAGAAATCCACAGTGAGGGCTTAGGGAGGATGCATCATTTCTTAGGGCTCCCCACTCTGTGAGGTGTATCACATCTGTCTCACCTAATCACAGAAACAGCATCACAAATCGTGAAAGAGACATGCCCATTTCAATTGTGAAATGAAATTTATACACTGTTTCCTTACCCTTTCGTAATTTCTGGGCCTGTAGTTCTGATAATGCTATTTATTACCAAGCATATATTTTTATTGTTTTCCTTGTTTTTCTAATGGATGACCATGCCCATAAATATTTCATTAAAAGGTCAACTTGCTATGCTAGGCCATATATTTTCTTGCTGTGTTAGGTGCTATATTTTTTTAAGCCAGATCATCAGATCAAACAACATTTTGACAGACATAATTTATCTTGTGTTTAGATCATAAACTTAAGGGATGGTCAGAGATCGAAACACCAGTGCTACCCCTTACTTTGGAAGCCTTATTTTGATGACAGAAATAATACCCAACTCGCTTCCTCATGAAAGGACCAGGGCAGCAAAACCTCCATTTGAGCATCTCAGGATGGCTGTTCTTCACCATCAAGTGCTGCCAGGAGCTCACTTCTTAAATTTTTGGGCCTGCTTAAGTCTCCAAATCGTAAAGGTTATGGAAAAACTGCTGAAGGTCCAGAGAACAATAAGCATGGTGAAACGTTTGGGGGGAATGTTAAATTGGTTTGGCATATTTATCCTGAAAAGGAAGAAATTAAGAAATGGGTCTTTAAATGCTTTTAAGCTAATCAGTGGTTGGTTGACGGAAAAAGAAAGATAAGAAGGAAGGAAGGAAGGGAGGAAGGGAAGAAGGAAGGAAGGAAGGAAGGCAGGCAGGTAGGAAGGTGTGCCTATGTCTTACCTGAGTTTAAGCACTTTTGGATCATAGTACCTTTCCTCCTTTTAATCTCCTTTATGTCCTTATGTTTCTGATGGCATGCCTTGAGTGGAGGCATCTCAAATATACCTGTGAGGCAGATCCCGTTTGCTTTCTTTGATCCCATCCTTCTGTTCCTACTCTTAGAATAAGCGTTAGAGCCAACCCCTCTCCATCACCTGAACCCTGTGTTCAAGGGGTTTATAGCTCTGCTCGTGTTTTCCTCCTGGCCTGAATCATCAAACCAATAAGTTTAGTTTTAATTAGGGGAATATTTGCTTTTTTTCTTCAGAACACTAGACAGTTTTCTCAGTTCTGATGGAAGATTCTCAACTCACGACTGAAAGGATCTCCTACATTTTGCAGGAACAACAATCAAATTCTCAAGACTATGAGGAGACACTGCTGATCACCATCTCCTATTTTTAACAACTACCTGCAGAGACAGCAGTTTCTGTGTTTGTTTCTGGTTTTTTAATCACAGCTTTTTGATAGTATTCCAAAAAGAGTGTTACTGAAGCACTGGGAGAATCTGATTCAATAATAAGAGCTACTTAGGTTCTATTTCCAATATTTTCTGTTACTGCCATTTATTAACATGCCGCAGAGTGAAGTTTATGGCTGAGTTCACAGCAGTGCTCTTCCATAAAGCAATTATGATCGCTTTCATTATTTAACATTCATTCTCTAGCTTGAATCAGAATAGCCACCCAATGTAAATTATTCAAAATGGATCATATCTCTGCTACCAAATAAAAGCGAGCTCCTGTCTTGTGGTGTTTTGTTAGAGGGATCTATGCAGCATGGATGGGGCCTCTGAAACAGGAGATGCACCTAGAACCATGTGGCCTCCTGCCATGGGTGGGGGGCTGTGGGTACCTGTGGTGCAACTCTACTCCATCATCTTAACTTTGTGACTGCTGTGTTCTTTTGGAATAATAGAGAAAAGTGGCTTATTTTGAACAGTCTCAATGAATTTGCTAATGTAAGTTAATTCTTGCTTGAAGAAATCCTGTAATAAATAAGAAGTACACTATTGGTGAGGAAGGATATGTACAAAATAATCACAGTTCTTGGTTCAAACCGCAGTTTCCTAAATGAAACATTTTTCATCCAAATGGCCATCAAGAACAGCAAAACGCTCAATGTTTCCACCATTTCATGCACTTTCTAAAATCACGTTTTGAAAAATTTTAGTTGCTCTATTGAAGTT